TATAAAAGTTGAATCCCAACATTGAGGACTCTCACCTTCCCGCCTCCAGAGCTTTGTGAGGAAGGTAAATCGCTGGATATGCCCCAGTAGGTCAGGGAACAAGAGTTATCTGTATACTGCGCCTATAATGAGTCTAATTCCATATTTCAGGAATCGAACCCCCACACTGCGACTGCCATCAAGACGTGAGATAACATCACTCCTATCCTTAGCACTACTAGACTATGCCCTAGAGGGTAATTTGTAGGTGTAATATAAAGATGTAATTGGAATGGGTCGTACTATATGTACACAAACGTTTCCGCTCCCCTTACAAGAGAGAGGGTTCATGTATTTTTTTTATTGGGCGCAAGGGCCCTTGTGAAGGTCGTGTAAACACCCGTGTATAAATAACAAATTTTTATTGAAATTGGATGATTCAAACCTTGTTTGATCTTCATATTTTAAATTTCAATTTTTTTTTTCAAAATTTTTAATCATATATTTTAATAAAATAATTTTACACGTAAATTTAAAATATCGAAGAGGGACTTAATTGATACACATTATTTGATAATGTACCTCCACACCATGTTAAGAGCCTGTATAACGGCCATTATTGTAGAAAAATAGTTTTGAATAATAATTTTTATAAAAAATGTATGGTTAAAAAGTAAGAAAGAAAATTTTGATATACACGTAAAATTAAATATTTTATTGTGTGAATGTAATTGAAAATTGCCCTATAACAAATCATAAAAAAATTAACGTGGATCAAACAAGCATTAAATAACATTAAACTAAAAACATGTCTTTTAAATTGTTAACCTAGTGTCATTTAAGAAGCCTTCATTTTACGATTTTTATTTATACAGTATTACATAGTCATTATGTAGAAGATCAAACATTGTATTGACATGTTAGAAAAATATTTATAAATAAATAAAAATAACTTTAAATTCATTTACAAAAATTTTGATCTGATTACGCGAGAGTTACTTCTCTTCAACATTCATTTTTAAATCGATTTTGCTAGTGATACATCGGGGTGTACCTAATGGTGTACACTCCACTCACATGGGAGAGAGACCCACTCGAATAAAATATTTTTTCTTTCACATGGATCCCACATCCATGTAAGTGAAGTGTATACCATTCGATACATCCTATTATGTACTATTAGACAAATTCTTTTTAAATTTAACTATACGGTCTTAAAAAATAATAATAATAATAAATTCAAGTTTCTTATAACTTTCTCTCTCTTTAATCACGTAGAAAAATAAAAATAAAAATTCCCAAAAAAGTGGCAAATTTTGTGAGGATTCAGTTCCCAATGAGAAAAATTGAGACAGTGATATTGGAATTCAAAAGATTTTGCTGCTCCATTCTTTGTACGAAAAAAGTTTACAGCAGACTTCAAACAGGCAAGAGGAAAAAGAGTGGGCATTCATAAACAGGTTAAATCCATCCTTGCCAACCAACTTTGTATTTAGCTCTATTTGGCCCCCATTAATTTTCATTTCATTATATTTTATTTTTTTCTCTTTTATTTTTAATCACACAATCTTCGATAAAATAATATTATACATAAATCAAAAAAATTTCTTTCCTTTTCAACCATTCATTTTTCAAAAAGATACTATTTCACCCATTTTTATTTCTCAAAATGAGAGCCAAACGGGGGCTCATGATCACTCAATTTAATTTTATTTTATCATAGTCGCCCAACTTCATATTTAGTTTCACCGTAACTATGTAATTTAATTTTATTTCACCATGGCCATTCAATTTCTTTTCACAATTTTCACTCATTTTAGAAGGGGTAAAACGATAATTTTGCATTATATATAAAATAAAATTTGAAAAGACAAACAAAAATTATTTTACTTTTTTAAGTAAAATTTTTTAAATAAATTTAAATTTTTTTATTTTTTGTTTTTTAAAAATTTATTTTATATATAATGCACAGTTACCATTTTACCTTTTTAAAATAAATAAAAAGGGTAAAAAGAAGTTGGGTGACCATAGTGAAGTATTATATGAAAATTGGATGGTCATGATGAAATATTATCAAATTAGGTGGCCAAAGTAAAATAAAATCAAATTGAGTGACCATAAACGACATTAATACAAAGTTGAGTGATTCATAAACTGATACATATGTCTTGAGGAATAGTCCAATAGTGCAAGCAGGTAAATAAAACAACAAAAGGTAAAAATTACCGTATTTACCAAAAAAAAACATAGCCATAGAGGCGTAAAATTGTGCAAGTTGTATTGCAAGAGAGAGAACGAGCGATGATAAGTTGCTTTCTTTCTTTTTCTTTGTCTTGCTTTGCTTGCTTTAAANGAAATCAGCAAGTCCATTTTCTATCAAACATCAGTCAGTCTACGGTAGTCAGCTGAATTAAGCTCCTTTCATAGATAAAAGATGCACAAAGCATTACCGGTGATAAAAGCTTGTTCGGTGGGGATTTTAAAAATTGATTTTTTGAGTGTTAAAAAAAAAGTGGGGACTACTTGTGGGAGAAGAAGTCAAAATGACGACTAGAATAGTGAAATAATGACAAAAAATCACTCCCAAACGGGCTCAAGATGACAAAGCTGTACTGGTTTAACTTTCTTTTTGTCCCAAACATCCAATAAATCTTACCAGCTGCTAATCTCTGTCAAAGAAATTGCTAAACATTTGTGTACATCTAACATTTCTGTCCAGATATTTTGACAAATTAAATCAACTAAAAAACCAAGAATTACTTGAATCCCGCTGGTTGATATTTGTCCAGCTGTGAGCAGCCAAAACCTTTAATTTCCGGTCGGGCCCATATAATCGATTCTAGTCTCTAGATTAAATGATAATGTCTGTCCCATAATTTAACAAAGTGTTCATTATTACTGCTCATGCTAATGTTCATTTTAACTAGTCAAAAGCATTAACAAGCTTAAAAACCTGTAATCATGACAGCTAGGAATTGACCGTTCTTTTTTACACTTGATTAGATTAATGCTTCGTTATTGTAATGACATTCATAATCACACAAACAGAATTTAGTAAACAGAAGATATGTTGTCCACCAATGACGTGATAACACTAATCGATGATGTGACGTGTGGTGTTACCACATTCTCCAATCACTATGGATAGGAAATCAGTTCTGATCACACAAAATACCAAAGTTTCATTTAGGAAGGAGTAACCTTAAAAGAAAAGAAGTTATACATGAGAAGTTGGGCATTTAGTTTCACCCGTGAAAACTTGCATTGGCTAAAGAAATATTTCTTGCCTCCAACAACTAATCCATTGGCGTTGGCATGTATAAAATCATACTTTAGGAGTTTAGAACCATCCATTTCATGTTGAATCCAGTAAGAGAAGTCTCTTTGATAATTTTGAGTATCATCATTTATTTTACATCCAGAAATCAATAAATGTGGAATACATTCACAATGTACATTTCCACTAACATTTTCTTGATGATGGACTGGAATTAGTTTGATGACTTGATGAGCCAACCCAAAATCCATAAAAAGTTCCAGCTGGTAAACACACAAAGATTGGCTCTTTGTCAATTCTGTTGTTTGATTCTGATGTGACTCGTGCTATGGAACAATCAAATTAAGGGTGTGTTTAACAACTTCTAAAATTTCTAATTACTTGTTACAATATGATTCTCCACCACACAGTCATACAATAAAATATTCTACCTATAAACCAATAAAGTTTCTTTTACTTTTTACCACACATTCTCCAACAAATACTATTCAAAACTCTTTAATTTACCTAATAATAGGTGTCATACAAGGGCTAAAAGGCCATACATATGGTCACAAACATCCCATTCATATAGTCACAATCACTTTTCTTTGCCTTTCAAAAAAACTCCACAAGTGAGCAAGACATTAGATCATCATCACAATGTGAATTTTTCTTCAAATCATTGCATGAATTTACAGCAAGTTAACAATTGGTACGAGTTAACATTTTACCATATAAAGTTGATTGATGTAAATGAAACTACGCAGTAATTGTGTAGGTTAATCTCAAATAATGAATTGACCTTTTCAAGTAGGAATCACTCAAATATTAAGCATCATTTTGAAACTTTCCAGAAGCCTAATTCACGGGAGTGGGTAGGAAAATCATGATCAGACTGGCAATCTAGAATTTTCGAGACTTATCAGGGTAATACATCCCACAAAAAATTGGGCCACTGCCTATTCACACCTCTATTCAAGTCATCGTTTGCACTAATATCAACTTTTTGTTTAAATTACATTACAACAGATCACCTGTACATTATGTAACTTCTGCACAAAGTATCATGCCTCAAAAATGAGGGAGGAAAACTCATGCAATGAACTTCTTGTCAACAATACAACAGGCATAAAAGAGAACTCAAGAAGCAGATTGTAATTCACTCATTTCTTTGTCTCAAAATAAATATGAAATGCTGCTAGTCAACTAATATCTACTACGTTGAAAAATGGTGTCACGGTGAAAGATGTGGGCCACTGAATTGGTATAAACATGAATCATATCCATCTTTAATATCATATAATATCGATCAAGATGCTCTGGTGATGTAAAATTCGTGGCCAAACTTCAATGTTAACATTGAGAGTAACAATCTCAGAAAAGTCAGCCACTACCGCGTTTAAAATGTTCTTTTATAAATCTTTCTGCATGAGAAGGGTACTTAACTCGGATGTATGCTCGAATGCACTTCTGGTAGGAAAAGTCTATCCATCCACCATCAGTTCTCACAACAAAAAGGCACCTCGAATGTCTGAACTGGGGATGTCGATCGACCTTTACGCAAGTGAGAAATTGAAGAGCCTCTTAGTCCATAGACTTTAAAGTAGATCCAATATTAATATTAACTGCCACATTTATGTGTCATCATGTCAAATAAACAGTTAGCATTCACGAAAATCAATCAGAAGAATCCATGGAATCAGTCCGCTGAATTACTGTCTCTACATTCCCAAAGACAAAGATCTGTCTGACGTAGGAACACACACCTCCAACAACAAAAAGCAAACAAGACAGCCTTATTTATCATAAATTATCTGCGACTTTTTATTAGTAGGAGGGAAGGGAAATTAATAGTTACATGAATATAAATAGAATGAGGCCTCAAAGTCAAAGTCATTGCCAGAGCTCAACAACTAAAGCCAACCAGCCTACCTACAATCTTTCTTCTATTATTCTATAGCTAGTTGTCTGTCTTGATGGTATTCAGAACTGATATATCTTTGATATATTATTGAAGGTCGATCCTAAGTGAGTAAAATTATATTCACTGTGGCATCTACAAATAATCATTGGTTAATGGCCATGTGGCAATATTTTGAAAGAACCATTTTAAGTATTACACAAATGAATGTTTTGTAAGCCCAACTCATCCAAAGTACACCAAGTTTGGATACTAAACACTGGGAACTATCAAAATCCAATACTATCGTCTAAAAAAAATTCTAACTTGTAATTCTAGTCATTCACACGGTTAGGTTACAATGCAGGGCTGCATCATCAAGGCTAATAGAGAAGCAGACCATTTAATTCACATTACATTTCTAGTGACCAATACTTGAGACATGAATTACTTTAAAACTTAATTTGATTGGCTGAGGAGTGCAATATGTTTTGCACCATATTATGGATCTGTATGTAAGCATTTTTAAGCCAACTATGATCTCCCTATTTTTTCTGGTGAAAATATTATAAATGTTGTGCTAACAGTGATTGGGAAAAAATTATGTGAATGATATCAGGTCGACCAAATCAGCAGAGAAGTCCATTAAACACGAAGTAACTAACCATAATTGAATCTAGTCCACATCCAATCTTATCTTCAGAATGAGGATGATGAGCAAGAAGCTTATCTACCACAACTTTCTCGTCCTCTGCTGAAAGACGTTCTCCATCTATATATCTGGCATAAAAAGGACGTTCTTTTTAAGACGCTTTTAAAATGAAATATATATATATGCAGGGAATAAATATAATAAAAGACACGAAGTCCACAGCAAGTAAAAATGCCTAATTCTACCGTGCAGGTAAAATGTGCAAGGACAAGCATGATTTGAATGGCAAACCTTTTACAGATGAGAAGCATTTTTATTCTTTATTTGTCCTTCTCAAGCAGAAGTTAAGGTTCTTTGTGTTTCAAAGATACTTGTCCCGCTATCGAATTTTCCTTTTAATCTCATGTGATGCGCAACCACACAGGTGCCTCTAGGCTATCCTCCAGTCAAGTAATCAGCTTTAATCCTTTAAGTGACTATCTCCCTCGAACAAGATATACTCCATGCGATTATTACAACCTTTCTGAGGCTTCAATAATAAATTCTTAAGCAATAGAATCAACTCAAATTCCTCCTTCCACCATAAGTTGCATATGGATTTCTTTACATCCCATTTAGATGAAGTGATTTTGGACAAGTTAAAATGGAAAATGAGGGTGTTATCACAATTGTGTAACAGCACATCCTTGTATGGTGATGGTCAATCGATCATTTCAGATTTTTTTTTCCTCGACAAAAGGACCCTCTCTATCAAACATATTGATGCTAGGTGATACAGGAGACATGATATGTGTTTAAACAGAAACTATTACACTTTGAGAGCATCCACACTGATGGAAAATGGATCAGATATGACGATGATCCCTACCAAAGGCGAGATTTATTGTGGAATTGCCAAAAATATACTTTCATATACCCCCTTTTTATTATAGTACAGATTTACTTCAAGCTGTGTCATAGATGTAGGTATATTGTACTATTTAAATCTTTTGTCTTTGATCTTACTCAGTTATTTCTTTTTTATCGGTTTGTCTATCTTTATTCATTCAACGAGGGAAAAATCGAACATAAATTACTAGTATATCATTTTATATATGAAAATTCACCTCATAATTTCTAATCTTTCCTTCTCCAAAGTCGATACTCCCTCACACAAGGTACTCTACGTTTCTAATTTATCCATGTGATAAGAGTGTAAACTATGATATTTTCCCCTCTTAATTGTTGCATTCGTATAACTATTTGATGTCAAAATACACTCATAGGTCGCAATTTGATGGAAAAGGTGAAATTTGAAAAATTTGTGAAAAGGGGCCAAAGTGGAAAAAAGTGAAAGTTCAGGAACCAAGTTGCAAATAATCCATAATTAGACGGGCGATGGAATGATGATTCAAGAAAGTTGGGAGTCAATTGAGTGTAATTTGAAGTCAAAAGAAGTGAAATATGATCATAACATCTTCACAAATCAATTCCCAATCGAAAAAGTTAAGCACCAATTTTTAGCCTCGTATTAGGATCCCTTTTGACATGGAAGATGATCGAATTGGAAGATGATTTTTGAAGAAAAGTTGTACCCTTTGTGTTAGCTTTCCAACACAACTTGAATCACCTTAATTGGACATCAGGAGAGAAAGTTATGGTCAAAATACTGGAAGATGTCCAATGGAGGAAATGGAAACAACCATGCAGTCGAAGGCTGCCTTCCAAGAACTTTTGGGACCATTTTGGTTGAACTATGTGGTCACATGGCTTATAACCATGCGGTCGCATGGGTATTTTTCGAGGGTGAAATCTCAGATTCCTACTTTGACGCGGACAATTATGGAAAGTTGTTTGACATGCATTTTAAGCCCTAATCTCGAGCCAAAACGTCATTCTTCATCTCCTATCAATTTCTCTCTCTCATCTTTGACCAAGAAACTCCATGGAAGGCTGATAAAACTTTGGTAAAGCAAGGGATGAACTCGATTGGTGCCGGTGATGTCAATGTCTTCATTGCTAAACAATTCTAGGTTTATGATTTCCTATTTATTGAATATGTTTTGAAATTGGTTTAATATGTATTAGATTTTCATGGATTTAATCATGTTCTTTCCATCGAATAATTGAAGTATGTATTGAATTTCGATTTCAATCATCCCATTGATGTGATTCGCTAATATTATATGCTTGATGTATGTAATTGATTTTGAATCTAATTCCAATGAATTAAAGTGAGAATATCTTGTATTGAAATCTAAATTCTAGAGTTATAAGTGAAATTCAATTGATTTAGGTCTCAACTTCAAGCATTGTTGTGAGATTTGTTTAACTTTTACTATATTTCTCATAGATTCAATCATGTTTTGTCTATTGTGAAATTAACTATTTGTTGTATTTCAATTTCATACAATTTTATTGGTGATTTGATTATTGCATTATACTTGAGGTATATTGTCGTTTCTCAAAGTGATTTGAATGATTGATTCACATTGATTAATCCGAACCAATCGAGGGAATTCATGCGCTTCATTATTTCACACATTGAATCAAATTTCGTTACTTCAATCATTGATAGTTACATTTCATTCAAACTGATAAATTCCTTACACAAAGTTCTTCATAGAAATAATCACGTTCTTTCTATCGAAGAATTAAACTATTCATTGAATGTTAATTTCGTTTACCTATTGGTGTAATCCTTTACAATTTTATACATATTGTATATGATTTTTTTTTATTTAATTTCAATAGATTAAAATGATGTGTATAGTGTTGGAAGAACTATTGTCGGATCAAAGGGATTTTGTATTTCATATCTTCCAATCAACGCATTATGAATGAGAAATCTTTAATTGGGCAAAACACATAAATGACTTACATTGATTAGGCCGAACCAATTGAAGGACTTCTGGTGCTCCGCTATCTTACATTTTGATATTTAAAACACATTTCAAATTGGTACATTATTTTCATACAAATTCATAACGAAAAACCCTAACTTTTGAACCTTTGAACTATTTTCCCATCTCCTTGTGGATACAACACTCCAAAACTATACTACAACTGTCGCGTTATACTTTGGGCGTAATCACCATGCACAATATTACTTAGGCCTTGGTAATAAAATCCTTTTGGATCTTCTAAAAAAATTGTCTATATATGTAGTACATAGTGCAAAGTAGGATGTCTCGACTAAACAAGTCCAAAGGGGGTAGACCAAAAAATGTAATTGGCTATTAGTGTTAGCATTTCCCTCATTGCCTGGGTAAAATTAAGATGTGTCATTTATTAGATGAAACTAAACTTCACATTGCAAACTGTGATGAAACTAAACTTCACATTCCAAGGACTTCATCATGATATTGGAAAACGTATGCCAAGGATACACTGGGTTTGTTTTTCTAGCCCTTTGTGAGGAGTGTTCCTAGTGACTCCAGGACAGTAGCTGAGGGGAGTGTTAGCATGTCTTACATAGCCTAGTTTTCGAGTGAGAATTAGAGAGTTAGAGCCACAGACTATATCATAAAGTAGTTGCTAAATATCTACTTGCTTTAAATCTTTCTGTAAAAAAAAAAATGTAGATTTACCAATGAACTGAATAAAGTGCAAAAATAATTATTCCAGACAACACTTAATTTATTGGGGAAAAAAGCTTCTTTAGTTATTCTTCTTCTAGTATGTAGTACAATCGGCACGAAGAGATAAAAATAGAGGAACTTGTTTAAGGACAAAGTTCAAGAGATTACAATTTTTATTCAGAATGACCACACCTTAGTTAATATTTAAAAATACCCTCGTAACTCAAACACGTAAGAACTCGTCAGTAAACTTCTTAGCATGCAGACGCTTAAACACAATATGAAAGTAACTCACTTTTAAAAGAGCTTGAAAGCACTATGAATAAGCCCATCACACTCCTTCAGGAGCTACTTTGTATCATTTTCAAACCAGTGGGGAGCCATAAAATATACTTCAGTGGGGTATATTTGGACTGAAAATAAAAAATTGAGACAAATTAATTAAAAAAATTGATAAAAATCTTGCAATTTTTTCAATAAAATGAATTTTCATACTTTTAGACAATGTATAATGAAAAATACCATTCTTATAATACACAGCAAAACCGTCTTATCCAATGATCCCCAATTGATTGCAAATTGTAGATCATTCACAATATTCATGGTAAAGAAATTACTTTATCATGGTATCAGCAAAAGTTGCTGCCAACAACAGGAAGAATCATTACCTACTACAACTTTCAAAATAAAGTAAGAAATAAAAGACACAAACACGTCAATTGATAGCTACCTTATTATTTTGTAGTAAAGATTGTCAATGTTTAAAAAGGTGTAACCAGGTATTGAGATATTTTTCCCTCATGAGGCAAGGCATAAGCCTCGAGACGTTTTTACGTATAATCTTAAAACATAAATTAAGAAAATGTGAGAAAATATTGAAATGCCAAATAAGCTCATAATGCATCATAAAAAATCTTCAAAAGTCATAATTGAATAAGTGGAAAAAAAACAAAAGAAAAATCTATAAAAATTGTTATTTTAGTTGGTGGGGGCAATGGATTATTCTCAAAGTGGGTCACATTTTTTAATAACTTAGAGGGTATTGGACTATTCTCAAAATGGTATATCAGAATTTTTATATTTTGCGAGCTACAAGCCTTGAAGCAGTGCTGTGAGGTGAATGACTTACACAAATAAGGCGTATGTCTCCAAAAACCACCTTACAATCAACTCTTTGAGGCACTTTTTGCACGCCTTACTCCAAGACAGGCCTTAATACGGGTTTCAGTGGGGTTTTTTAAACAATGAAGACTTTAATATATAAAAATAAAATATAACTTAGCTACCATTAATTGCTATATAAACTTTAAAAAACAAAGAAAACTACATTGCCTATGGTTATACAACAAAATTTGATTTTTGAGGTACCACAATATATAAATGGGAATAAATAAATTCATCATCAATATAATACTCATAGCATGGAATGTGTCCATTGTGCGTGCGAGAAAGAAAGAGGGAGAGAGAGGGGAATTTGCAGTGTTTCAATATAGAAGGGAGTTCTCAAATATAGAAGGAAGATCTCAATAATTAAATGGAGCCACTGGCTCTGCCAATTTTTGAAACAATAAAGGCCGAAGGGAGATGCTAAGCTAGTTGCATAACGTGTTTGTGAAGGACTTCATTAGGAACAAATAAATAACTCACCAAGTTGATGATCATTGTAAGTCAAATTGGCGAATAACTATCAACTCGATAAAGTTGACTAGTCATTTTTTTCATTTACAACCTCAAACTTATTTCTTCACTTCCTTATTTTTCATTTCTATTCTTAGACATGTTTCTATTCTTCACTTCCAACCTTTTATTTTGATTTCAAGTTAATCTTTGTCCTTTTTCTCCTTTTTTGGGTTTATAACATCAAAGTGCTATGACCATGATTTGGAATTTTTAGAAATTAAAAAATCGTAGTCAATCAGTTTTTTAATTTTCGGTAAAGCTGTAGGAGAGGTACACGCAAAGGAGGGCAAGGAACGGGAAGTGGAAAGGAAATGAGAGCAGGATAGGGAGCGATGGGTGGGGAAGATGGCAGAGGTTTAATGGTGGCTGAGGGTCACCACAATGGTGACAGAAGGAGTAGGATGTAATGGAAGGAGATAGTGAATTGAAGAAGATAGCTTCCATACATTATATTGGATATTTGAGGTCTAAAGAAGCTCTTTCACTGAAAAAGTATTAAAAGCTGAATTTTATTTTTTTTCACTTTGACAAGAAAACATCTTTAGAAAATTACCTTTTCCAGCCAAATATTGGACTTTCCATAAACTATAATAGGTGCTAGCCTTTAATCAATAAGGTACACAAATAATTGTCATAACCATGGTAAAACTACTCACTGGAACAAGACAGCAGCCTAAATTATACATACTATCACTGGATGTTTAGATAAGGACGTGATTTTGTAACTTAATAATATATTATCAGAAACTGTTTTAAGTATTCAATTTAACATTGTATATCCCTTCTTTGGACATTCAATTATCGCATCAAAACCACATCTTTTTTATCTCAAAAAACCTTGCAACTAAGAGCAATTGCAAAAAAATGACGATGAAGAAAATATCTAAACATAATTTATTGAAGTTCAAGATAGGATTAACTTGAATGGATGAGAGAAAGCACCTATTTGAGTGTAGGATTTCTTTGGTTAGATAAATAATTGGCTCGATGTCTTTGAGTATTTCCGCTTCTTTCTGTTTCCATTTTCCGAACTCCGGGTCGTCCCGTCTCAGGTACTTGGGTGGGTCTTTAGCGCTTAGTGCTGCTGCTGCTGCTGTTTGGTAAGCAGAGGAGGAAGCCTTGTCTGGTCGAGTTAAATCGATGGCGCAGCACCTGGACCGATGAGTTAGTAAACGAGTGGCGACTTGAAAATGAGGCTGGTGAAAGCGTAAAAGCGGTGGAGCTCCGATGAGAGGAGCAGCCATTCCTTTCAGTGTATAGTGCAAACGTTGAGTGGAACTCAACGTGTTTGGTGCATACGATCCGCGGTACCATTGCGAAGAGTTAATTTCATCAATGGTCACAAAAGTTTGTACAAAATTTCAAGTTCATCATTGAACTTTTTTCTTACACATTTAGTCACGGAAATTGATAATGCATTTCATCATTGGTCACCGATTAATAAGTTTAGTGTATAAATTGACGTATGGCATCAAATAAGTGGACCAAATGCCATTAATTCAATTGATACACACACGGGTAGTATTTATGTGTGCATTTAATTGCAAGCATGGAACTTATAGAAAAACAAATTCTAGACAATTAAATTGCTTATAATTTATTTGTATGAAAATTGTCAGTTAAATGTATTTGATTAATTTAAATTTTAATCTGAAAAATATTGTACTTGTCCATTTTTTTATTAGTGAGTGGATGAGAGAGAGAGAAGAGAGAATTACCTAGAAAATAAAAAGTTTCTCTCCCTAAAAAAATATTTTCCTTGTTTAAAAAAAAAGGTCATATGATCAAAAATGAATAAAATTTTCCATGAAAAAAATATTAATCAAACATCATGAAGGTAGGAATTTAGGAGAAAAATGACATATTTTATGGAAAATATTAGTAATCAAATTCACTCTACATGTGTTTTACTCGTTTAGAAAGAATTTTTCATTGTTTGTATTTTTAATCAAACAATCATTGTGTTTGTTTGACTAAAACAGAGTGAGCAATATAAGAGCCTGTTTGGGAGTAATTTTGAGAAATGATTTTTTGACCGTTAGGAGAAAAGTGGGATCCACCTATAAGAGAAGAAGTCAAATATGACGGCTGGAATAATGAAATAATGATCAAAAAATCAATTTTTTACGAGAAAAAATCGCTCCCAAAACAGCACATAAATGAGGGAAGGGGACGAAGTCAAGATCTCTCGAAAAACAAAAATAGGTACTAGACGCTCCTAATCAAACTCAATTAGAATTTCAATTGTAATTGAGATCAATATGTTACGAACTTGACATCTATGTCGAAGTTGTTATAGCGTATATACTGTTTGTTCGATTTGAGAGGACATTTACTCTATTAATCCTCACGATTTTCTGTGTACATCTACTGTGATTTGAACTCAAAACTTTGCCTTATGAGTCACAGAGTTCTTGTATTTAAATCTTAGTGGATGCTAAAAAAAGTCGTGAGGGGTAAGAGAACAAATATATTCTCAAAGTTTAAATATCTCATAAGGCGAAATTTTTGGATTTTTTTTTTTTTTTTTTTTTTTTTTTTTTTTTTTTTTTTGAATTTGATCAATCCCTTCGATTGATTGTATAGTATTTGAAAATCCACGATCCAAAAAAATTATCTCATTTTTCTATTGAGAAATTAAATGTGATTTTTAGCTAAATTTTAGGATAAATTTAAACCATTTCAAATATATTGGACGCGACAAAAAATTGTGAAAGGTAATATGGTAGATGTCTTCTCAAAATAGACAGTACGTATGATATAACAGTTTCATTCAAACGTCGAATTGTTATATATTAGAAATGAATTCGACATCAAATAAAATGGCTTGCCAGTATTAGCCTCTTGTACTTATAATTTAATATAGATTAATGACACTTAATGCTTAAAATAAATGTCTCGTCAAATTATATATATTTCTTTTGTTAATCGAGTAACCATCGATGAAATTATTATAAACTTTAGTAAATAAATGGGTCGGGAAAAAACTTTAATGGCCGACTTGAAGTTTTGAATAAACTTCGGTGACCACTAAATTAACTTTGTGCCAATGGTCCCCAAACTTTGAGCATAGTAGCATACCTACCCCAATCGTTATAACATTACAATGTTGTCCTCAACCTTCCGGATAAAAATTGACCATGTTAAGATCTCATAAAAAAGATGAGTTTACCCTTGAAGTCAAATAAATATCAAAATAAGAAATTCAACAACTTGAAATATGTTTGAAGAAACCAAGAATCCGATGAAGCAAACTTTGAAAAAATATTGGAATTCATCTTATCAAAACGATCAACAAGTTCTCCTTCGGATTAAAAATACTTGTGCATTCTAGGTGCTTTCATTATCAAAAATGTGTTTTGATTCCTAAAAAAGTTCTATGAAAATTTATCAGTAGAATTGAGACTTTATTTTTCTTTATATTTTCATAATTTCTTCAGCAACAAAAAAGGGTGGCTATCCTTTTAGATTATTATGTGTGTTTTTCAAAATTAAATTACTTCAAGAATGCTAACACATTTGTTGTTCATTAGATATGAATTTGAACCATACATATTTATTTCGTTGGTTATCCGAGTGTTTGATAAAATCACTCAGTTGGACTCAAGGAAAGAATACCTCTAGTTGATTTTCACAAAAACGACATAGGTTTAGACGCACTCAATCTCCACTCTTCAAAGTGTCTCCCCAGAGTCAAGAGACTCTATACACAATATGCTATCTATTTTAGAGAATCAATACTTAAAAATAAGTTTTGAGACACGTTCCAAATTTAAAAAGTCAAATCTTAGTCTATGTTTTGACTTGCATTTAATAAGTTCATATTTCAGTACTCTACTTTTTAAATTATTCAAATCATGATTGAATTGATTTATCGTTGACATATAAAAATATTATATAAAATGAAGGATTAGGGAAAATGAATAAACATAACTTAAAGAATAGAATGAAGAGTCAAAATAGTGAATGATTGTTGAAATGTGTAAAATTTTTTGCAAATTAAAATATGTTGACATGGATGTTGGTGTGTCAATTGTGCATGGTGGACGTTTAGGTAGCTGGGTTAAGTGCATGTGACGAGGAAAGAAAGAGAAAGAAAAGGAAGAGGAATTGTTTTTCGTTTTTGGTTATTTATTTATTATTGTTGTTGTTTTTTTATTTCTTTTCTTTTTAGTTTATTTGTATCTACTCAACATTAATCTTTTATGTCAGACTGACATTTTCGTCATGAAAAGGACCTTAAGCTCAAACAAATGTAAGATTTTAGATTTGAATGCTAAAAATCAAGGTTTCGGGATCAATTGCAATATACCCTGTAAGTTTCAGGACATCTTTACGAAGAAAATATAAACAATCATCTAACAAACACGCCCCTTTTTCCAGAATCCGAATCAATTCCAATTTCACATCCGTTTTGAGTCAAGAAAATAATCAATATAGGAAGCACAGTATACGAAACTACCCGAGAGAAGGACTTCGACCTCGGCCGCAGACCCTTAATCCTACAACCACAGTGGATGGGCCAATCATCTTCCAGATCCAGACCCAGATCAGTCAATCCCGCCGTGATCCCTCCATTGCCGGCAGATTCTGATAAACCAGGTGACTTCACTTCTGACACGGATGACGCCATCAGTGGGAATGACTACACGTTGAACCTGCCAGACGAATGTCTGGCCTGCATTTTCCAGTCGTTATCCTCCGGGGACCGGAATCAGTCGGCCCTGGTGTGCCGTCGGTGGCTAAGAATCGATGGCCAGAGCCGATACCGCCTGTCGTTGAATGCTAAGTCTGAGCATACATCCGTTATCCCAAAATTATTCTCGCGCTTCGACTCTGTCACTAAGCTCGCGCTGAAGTGCGACCGTAAATCAGTCAGCATAGGCGACGATGCATTGATTCTGATTTCTTTGAAGTGTAGGAATCTCACCAGGTTGAAGCTCCGTGCCTGTCGAGCCATAACTGATGATGGAATGGCCGCTTTTGCCAGAAACTGTAATAGTTTGCGCAAATTCTCGTGTGGATCTTGCAGTTTCGGGGCCAAAGGCATGAATGCCTTGCTGAATAATTGTGAGTCCCTGGAAGAATTGTCGGTGAAGCGATTGTCTGGTGTCGCGGATGGTGTTGGGGTCGAGCCCATCGGACCGGGAAAGGCTGCTGGTTTGAAAGTTCTTTGTTTGAAAGATCTTTACAATGGGCAGTGTTTCGGGCCTTTGATTATTGGGTCGAATAACTTGAGGTGTTTGAAGCTGTTCAGATGTTCTGCTGATTGGGACAGTTTGTTGCTAGTGATAGCACATCGGATTACTGGGCTTGTGGAGCTTCATCTGGAAAAGCTTCAAGTAAGTGATCTCGGGCTCTCAGCCATTTCGAGTTGTGTGAATCTTGAAATATTGCATTTAGTGAAACTCCCTGCTAGTACTAATGCTGGACTTATGGCTGTTGCGGAAAAATGCAATCTGATAAGGAAACTGCATATTGATGGATGGAAAACAAATAGAATAAGTGATGATGGATTAATTGCCGTTGCAACTCATTGTCCTAGTTTGCAAGAGCTGGTTCTGATTGGTGTGAATCCCACGAGGTTGAGTTTAGAGAAGTTGGCTATACATTGTCAGAACTTGGAAAGATTAGCACTGTGCGGGAGTGATACCATTGGGGATGCAGAGATATCTTGCATAGCTTCAAAGTGTATTGCATTGAAGAAGCTGTGCATAAAGAGTTGTCCAGTATCGGACCATGGCATGGAAGCTTTGGCTGGTGGGTGTCCCAATTTGGTGAAAGTGAAGTTTAAGAAATGTATGGGAGTGACTTCTGAGGGAGCGGATTGGTTGAGAGCAAGTAGAGGCTCTCTTGCTGTGAATTTGGATGCCCCAGAGCCAGAAATACAGGATGCCAGTGCTAGTGACCAAGAAGCTAGTGGTATTGAAATTCCACAAACAGATGGCCAAAATAGGGGTATTAATACTGCTTCAAGCTGTAGCTGGAGACCAATGTCTTTTAAGGCGAGGCTAGGGCTTTTAAGAGGGAGGAGCTTGGTGGCTTCCACACTGAGGCGATGGTCAAGTTTTGGTGGCAGTTGCCATAATAATTTGGAAAGGAGTTGAGACGGATTTGCGATGGGCAAGTTCCATGGTTGGTCTATTCACATTATTCTCCACTGGAGTTCAGTATATTTATTTCTGTGTGCTGTTGAATGCTATTCTGGAATCTCCATTATTGGGAATTGTCAGAGTTCCACTCGTGTGCTTGTATGTCTGATTTGTATGAAGGGATGCCTCTTTACGTGATAGTTGGGAACTACTGTGTTTGCTTCCTTAGTTTGAATAGGAAGGAGGACATGGCCAACACTCTCTTTATACCTAGACTTGTGTATTATCCTTAACTGACTAACATGTTTTAAAGCATCCAGTTTACGACTTGCTGTCACAGGCTTTATTCTTGTCCTAAGTTTGGTTGCGGAAACATGTCACGGCGTCAATGATGCAATGATATGTCAAATAGTTGGATGTCAACCCTTTATGTTTCTATTTCTTTCAGAATGTTGATCATCAGAACAAAATGAATCAGTTTTCTGCACTACATTTTCTTAATACCAATCTTTTCATATATGATCGTGTAATGAAGTTGTAAATCATTGTGGAATGAAATTATATGTGTTGTGCAGATCAAATCTTTCACCAGTGATCTTTGTATGAAAGTTGTTGCCTATTTTCTTTGTACAAGGATAGCCTTATACAATATAATTCAGTTGTGTGACCTTGTTTTTCTGCTCACTAAATGAATTGCTAACAGAGGAATTAAACTGAGTGGATATATGAGATGATAAAGTAGTTGTTATTTGGCCTCTGGAGTTCAATTTAAGCTGCCAGTTTGACTGTTGTACCATATGGTAATGAGAAGGATAGCTAGATGTCACACATTTGTTTTGGAAGCAATTTTTCTTTTATGGTCAACTACTAGGTGTTTGATTATTAGGCTTGTATTACAAGAACTGACTGATCTTTAGCTACTAAACTAATTTTGCAGGATGTTATTTTAAAGAATGTTTGGGATGTGTTTATAAATGGTTAAATTATAAATAGATAAACGAGTGGTGTATAAAAGAGTTTGGTCATAAATATAAATGGTTCATTACTACATTTACTATACATGCCAAAGAAACTAAATCTTTAGAAACCACAAGAAGCTATAATAGACTTGGCCGACCATTCCTTCTACTATCTTATGCTGAGACACATCACTTTGATGAAAGAGAGCCTCAAAGTCTCAACCATCTATATCATCATTTCCCCGTCACAATGTAGAGGTTAGAGAGAGAAGCTCAAACTCTCACTAGAGTTTTCCTTGTGCATTTGTGAGCTCATAGATTCTTGTTCGATTTCACCTTTACTCCTTGGTAATTTCGAATATAATATTGTAGATTTTGTTAAAATCTGTCCAAATTCAAGTGTTAGCTTCAAAGATCAATTTTCTTGAAGCATTATAGACCAGTCTGTTCAAAAACTAGAGGCAGGTTCAAGGCCTGTTGGCCAGCTGCTTGTTTTGATTCTTTAAAAGCTACCTGCTTCATTAAACTCCAGGCAGCCACCTCACCAGCAGCCTGCTTGTTTTAATGCCAGGTAAGATCTCAATCTTTTGTGCCAGTGGCTTGTCTGAAGGCCAGGCAGCACTTAAGTCCTGTCCAAATTCAAAAGGTAAGCTATGAAGTTTTCGAGCTTCTTGTAGTCTTGAAGTTGGTGAAAATTTCGAAGTGTAGGTTTATGCATCCAGTTTCTTTTGTGTTTGAAGCTTTAATGGCTGAGTCCAGCTTCTTGGCAAAGTTGATTTTCCTTGAAGGTAAGTTCGGCCAGTTATGTGCTGTCCCAGATGGTAAATTAAAACGGTGGCAGCAGTAATGCAGCAATGTTGACCGTTTTTAAGCAGTATTTTATTTGCCCATATTGGCAAAAAATTTCAGAAATTGGTGCTGTTCAAGCCAGTTCAGTCCATTAATGTCTGGAAATTATGTTCTTAAAGATCCAGGTCAGTTTATTAGCAGATGTTCTTCCGGCCAGCAGGGTGCTTGTTTGGGTATCTTTCAAGATTTAAAACCTAGTTGAAGGTTTGGAACCTGGTCAGCAGCCAGCCTGTCCAAAGTTTTTTGTTCGTAAAGGTGAAGCTACTGGCCACTCAAAGTTGTTTCTTGTTCACTAGTAGCCTGCTTGGTATTAAAACCTGCCCAGCAGATTGATGCAAGTTCGCTCAATTTCTTTGTACATCTCTTTAATGTTGTTCGATTTTAGACTGCTGTATCGAATATGTTAAAATTTAGTTGAATTCAGGGTATTGATCAGTTTGTCACAGTTCTAGTTTGTTGGCAGATTTCTTCACTCTTTGTTTGAATATTTTCCTGGCCTCGGTCGAAGTTCAAATCCAGCTTAACTCCTTGAAACCTGACCAACAGCTTTTGTGCTTTTTTCATCCAGTTTCCTTGACTGTTTCGACCTTGTTTGAGAATCACTGAATCAGGTGAGTTTGGTCAGATTTGCTTCAGCTTCGTTCTTGTTGGCAGATTTCTAGTTTTCTAATTCCTCTCACCCCCCAATTGAAAATTTTGAATCTTCCAGCCGACCTTGCAATGGTACAACACTTTTTTTCCCCCTTTCTTTTTACAAACACTACCATGTCTTGGCAGTACACTTGATTTGGCCAAAATTCAAAAAATTACCCCCAACAGTTTTATTTTGAATTCTTGCCTTTTTTATCTATTATATGTTCAGGCACAATCCATACACTTACCATGCAAGCATATGAGGCTTGTTTCCAGCATATCCTCCAACCAGCTTGCTTGGGATTTTCAGTCTGGCATTGATATGGTTATTGCTCTTGATATTTGATTATGACCTTCATCGATTGGCAATTTAAATCCGTCCAATCTTGAGGGTTATCTTGGAGGATTTTAAGGTCCTTGATGCTGCGATTTTCAGCAGTATGGTTATGTACTACTATGGACATATTAATTTTCCTATCCCATAGGAGGATTTTGAAATTGATCAATAGTTTGGCACTTCGTATACTAGATTAGCCCAATTTGTAATGTTTTGATTCATATTCCTTCACTTGTTTGGATCATTGTAACGTCTTCCTTTTTATGTTCAGAAATACCCGGAGTAATTGTATCCACAATTTTGATCGTTGGATCGTTGTTGATGTATGATATCATTTCTTATATTAATCTAGTATGACCACACATCCATTTTTAGTATCCTCATTCCGTCATTCATCTTATTAATATTGAAATTGAAATCGAAATCTCTCTCCTCAGGGTCTAAGACTCTCCTTGTCTTCACCTCACTCTCTCTCTCTCTATTATTCAACATCACCTCAGGACAATAAGTTCTACATCTTTTTATTCTTTTCAGAAAGAGAACTTTAAAATTCCAATAGATTTAAAACTTCAATTGATGTTGTAAATCAATTGTGAAATGTTTTTCAAGATTGTCATAGATGAAGTGCAGTGGTTCCTTGGAAATTTTGATAGATGTTAAACGTAGGATGTGTAGCCGCTGCCAATGCATCCAAAAGCCAAAATTTTCTCCTTCCTCCAGCTGTGTTGCGAGAGAGAAAAGTATGAATAAAGCAATGCAACAAAAATGGAAGTGAATGGTTGCCGCAAGAGAATTGGAAAATGACAGTTGATGCTCCCATCTAAAGAATGGCAAAGGTGTTAGAAAGACCGGTTTAAAATCTGCGACATTCTCAAAATTTCTGTAAGTGTTTCAACTTGATAATATCCAAGGAACTTCATAGCAAAAATGAGATTATGCACCATTATTTGGCTAAGTTAGCCCAAAGATCAAGTTTCTTCGTCAAGAGACAAGTTATCATGGGCATCCGGAGGAATCCAATTTATCAGCACCTGATTTCCTTTCTTTAAGATGCAAGTCTTCCTCAAAATCTCTCTCTCTCTCTATGTGTCTCTCGAGGGGGTGGGGGCGTGGAATGGAGAATGAAGCAAAGTAAATGATTGTTCTAGAATAGCTATTCCTCACAATTGCTCCAAACAGACGAAACCCTGGAAAGAATTAGCAACTAAAAAGGAATTCCGACTCAAAAAGATGGTACTTTGAGTTTCAACGAGCTATGGAGTTCAATTACAAAATTATGAACAAAACATGTAATGTAACTAATTTAAAACATTTACTGAAAAATACATATAAAATTTATAAATTCATTTTATTAATCTCAGGAGAACATAATACATTACTGTAATACTTTCAACCGCTTAAGCAACAAACATTTAACTTGAAGTTCGATTCAAATTCTCATGCAATGATGATCAGGTTTTTGATCAGGGATGTGGATAGACTCCGCTTGGGGGTGGTGCCTGTTGATAGTAATCAGTAGATGGTGGTGGGTAGGTTCCACTTGACTGCCCTGCAGGATTAGTCATTACAAATTCAATCATACAAGTGTGCATCAAGGCAGAATTCTATTGAAAAATCTTAGTACTAAGTGTGCATTTTTTTAGCAACATGTAATTGAGAAAACTATATAGTACCTGCTGGAGGGTAAC